CCTACTTAGAAAACAACTTAAGTCTTTCTGTCATTCTAATTTGTAACACATTGAGCTGCAGAGATAAAAACTGGATTGTAAAATCACCATTGGCAGTTTCAAGCAGATCAGTTTTTCCTTTTGGAAGAACCAAGATTTAACTGTGAAGTCTTCTTTATCCTGGTCTTTTACCCCTCACTTAATTTTCAAGCAAAGCTCATTTTCACTTTCTCTTTTAAATACAGTTTATTTTATATACCTCTTTATTCATATATTCATATATTTAAATTCAGATGTTTAAGTGCCCACTGGAGACTAGAATTCATTTTTAAAATAAATATGACCGAAAACTCCATATAGATAACTTTTAATGTACTCAACATCTTACCTGGATATACCTAACTCTTGTTAAAGACATATATTGAACCATCAGGTACATTAAAAGTTTTGTTCATCTGGAATTTTTGTTCATATTTATTTTAATAAAGAATATTATCTGCTCTTTTCAAGTACTTCTTATCATACTAGACACATTTTTTTTATTAACGTACTCCACTGAACTTTGTTAACAATTACATCATGCTTGTAACTAACCTAAAAGGGGGTTAACACTGTGGTAACTTAACTTACATGACTAATGTAAATCACTTGAACAAAAACATAGGCTGAGCTGTTTAAATTTAAGAGAAGATTTGTCAACACTGTACGTTTACAAAATATATAGTTAAGATATCAATATGCTATTCTTACTATGAATTCGTTTTTGGTAAGTTTAGAGTACCATATATATTATTAGTAGTTGTATTGTGGTGTTTCATTATTATTTCTTTTTGTAAGCGTTCTCTGAACTATTTTAATTATCAAAATGCTCTAATTTTACATATCATAATAAAGTTTTACCAGCAGAGACCTGCAAAACATTTCCGGCCAAATTAGTATGTTTATTGTAACAGTACTCCTTTAAATATAACATTTCTAGCACAATACAAACAAATTATAATTGTGGACAATGAAATGTGTAAATCCACTGGTATATAGGCCGCACTTTATAGAACTTTAACTTATGTTAGGCCTAAGTTCGATAAAGAGATAAATCAACACTGTGTACGTTTTTTTTACTTTAGTTTAGTTAGGACTAAACTTTATTGTACTTAATACTATCG